CAAAATGTGGTAAATTCAATTGAATGCTCTAGCTTTTAAACATGAGTACATGATTAATGTGCGTAGGACTTTCAATAAAAAACAGGCTCATTTAAAGCGTAGATGATCACACGCACAAGACATATAATGATGTTGGTGAGACATACTGTAATGACAGAAGACAATAGCTAGGCAACAGATTGCTTATTGAGAAAATCAAGTGATATTTATAGATTTTTATGTTCGTTATTGCCAGCGGAAAAGAAACGTCTTTTGATTGGTTGTTTTCTTACTGAAGGTTATTCTGTTATTCCTGTGTGACTGTTTCTCAGAAAATTAAGCCAAATATCTGCGAATCATATTTCCACACTTTAACTCCTCTGTGATTGGTTGGTCACTTTCTCAAGGTTAAGCTTTGTTATTGTTTTTTCTCATGACCTTGATTCGGGACGTACCATTGACGTTAATTATTGTTTACAATTTCGGCCTGTTCTCAGCCAGCTCTCACCACAATACTAGCATCTATACGCAGAAGTTTTACGTGTATGGCGAACGGTAAAGAATAGGCACCACAGTCGACTCTGACTCTGAACCAACCAATCCAGTATCTCAGAGTTACAAAGAAGACTATGATGAAAAGGAGACATCTGTAATGTTGTGCTACCTGATTGATTGGCTCAAGGCCACACATTTGTCTATACGCCTTTTGTAATTTATCAGTTAATTCTGACATAAACACATGTAGACATCTTCATTTCTTAAATGTAGTCAGTACATTTGGAAAATAGAGGAAATCAATGTTATGATGCTTAGAATACACAAAATGAAAGTGTTAGAAATTTGTTTTACTGACCCATATGTGTATAATTTACTCACATTTATATGTTAGCCACTTTTGTTATTGAATTATTTGATAGTTTTTATAATGCTTGCAACAATACAATGATAAATACAGTCACCGATGCCATTCGTCGTCATCAGTATTTCTTTTACTTTGTCTTTAAACACAAAGGTATTTAAATGTGTTTTGTATGTGCCTATGTGCTTCAATTTTGTGAATATTTAGCTGTTGACTGTCGATGAAGCTGATTACAATGAATGGTCTTATTGTATAAAAAAATATTTACATTAGTAATGGCTTGCTATGAAATCGGATGATTATATATCGTTCACGTGCATTGAAACACAAAATATTAAGGTAAACAAGTCGGCTGAGTGATTGGTTGACTGACTGATTGAAAATCTAAACTATGAAATCTATACTAAGCATGGAAGCCAAACCCTTCTTTTTTAAAAGATAGAATGGAACACACCACTCTGTTCATTCCGCAGTTTTGATGCCAATGAAATCACTTGTGACAGAAAGTCTTTAAAGCATGCCTGACAATGATTTCTAATACTTATTATATCAAGGTGAATCTGAAGGCTTATGAAGCTATACACTCAAATATATATATATATATCCTCGTCGAGAATTGCTATCCAGAAAGATTTATTGCAAAATCTATGAACCCTAGACCAGAAAAGCCGCCCATACTTAGCGTCAAGAAAAAACTACTCTACATGAATCTTCAATTCAATGGAGATTTATCTGCGGAAACACTAAAAAATCGACTTTCGCGCTCACTTAAGAAGACCTTCGCAGCTCAACTACGACTAATCTTCTCCAAAAAACCTATGATTCATGTGAACGTGAAGGATAAGCTACCGATGCTGGCCTCATCAATGTGCATTTATCAATTCACCTGCTCGTGTGGAGCCAGGTATGTCGGCCGTATCCAGCGCTCGCTTTCCAAACGTATCACCGAGCACTTACCAACATGGTTTTACAAAGGAGAAAATCGATGCCCCCGCAGATCCATCTTAGAACATCTGATAGAATCCGGACACCAAGCTACGCCGCAAACAAACTTCAAAGTCATCTACAGAGTAGGAAGTAGTCTCCCTAAAGGTGTATGAATCAAACTTCTTCAAACTGCAGAAGCAATCGCGATTCACTTGCTAAGTCCTGAACTCTACATACAGAAGAAGTTCGTTCAATCACTACACTTGCAATGGACGTAATCTATCTTATTAGCCGACATGTAAATTCTACCTAATCTTTATTTTCTGTCTCTTCATTAGTATTATTTTGTCTTCTCAATTGTAACATTTTACATTTTCAACTTTCTTGTTCTCTACCCCCACCCGATTCAATTTCACTACCACTGTTACTGACTTGAACAACGCTCAGTTTCTAGTCATTCATGTTACGTCATCCAACTTGTCCACTCAATTTCACTTCTACTTAATCTCTACCTGTAATTACCTCTGTTGCTATCCTGACCTAAGTTGTAACATTTTAGCCAATTATATTACGTCATCTAGCTTACTGACTCAATCTTACTTTAGTTGCTGTCTGATTAACTTTGTCTCTATACTACATCATTCTTGTATTAACTAATCAATTATCTAAACTTGACAAACCTCATGTTCACACACACACACACAAATATTTATATGTAAATGCGATTGTACAGCTATGTGAATGAATTCGCCGAAAAGAGTCTCTTCGCTGAATGTCTTCTCTTTTTCATATATATATATATATATATATATATATATATAAAGCAATAAATTGTATCTTGCGATACATATAGAGCTAACACCAGTCAGCGTCATCAGTGAATAACTTTCCTGTTACCTGACTTGAGGACTGAAGTTGGTAGTCATGGGTCACTGGATCGGGTCCCAGTGTCTGAATGGTCTACGAGCCCACCTTGTAACCGGAAGGTCCTCCGTTTGAACCCCCGTTGGTGTGTAATGATGAGAAGTCTCAAACTAAGACGAAACGTCTGGATGAGGAAACTTAATGTTCTATTCACCTACCTATCGTATTAACTTTAAACCTGTTTCCAAGATCTATACCTTCTATGAACTACTTTATATATCAAGTGTTGGTTTGTAGGAATTTGATTGTTACCAATTTGGTCATCAGTTGACATCAGTTAGAAAACCATTGGAAAACCAGCGGATAGCACCGGACACCTAACTAGTTCGGCCTGGTTCAGGACTCTTCATCAGTATGCACCCACTGGAGTTCGAGGCCAGATTTTCAGGTTAGAAAACGAGCTCACTGACCATTTAGCCACAGGGATCCAAGTCAATGGCTAACGCATGAATTCTAACTTCTACCAGTTCTTGAATTTAGGAAGCATACTGTTTTCGGGAGGATTCTCCTGACTACTGCGTCTACTACATAATTGTTCTCATATTTTTCTGCATACTATTTCATTAATATCCAGGTTTTTCTAGCACTTTTAACACTTGGCGAACTTAGTCTAAACTTACTGATTTTCACCTTCCCTTCCCTCCCCCACACAAGTTACAGTTTGATCATTCATCACTGTTTCAAAACATTCTGATGATGTCAACAATGCTCCAAATCAATTTTTATTCATGTGTGCTATGTTTGGCAGACTAAATTTAACGTAAAGATTATTTGGAAAATGCATCTTGAACGGTCTAATTACAATATCGATACTGATTTGGATGTTTCAACTAACTTTGTAAGCATTATCCCTTTTTCTCCCAAACCACCCATCTTTGTTCTGACATTTGCATATCAATATTTCCACTTGATCCCTATTATTTATCTTTGTCCCTATTTAACTTCAAATTTAAATGCTTCTCTCTATGGTTGTGTGATAGCATCGATGTAATTTTCTGGTTGTTGTTGTTGTTGAGTGAATCAAGGTGATTCTGACCTTTAGGTATCTGTGAGAATCGTTGGCGTGTGATTCTTGCTGACAGAGTTTTGTGATCCCACTTGGTCGAAAATATTCTATTTGATTTTGAGTACTGTATAGCTGGCTAACAGCAAGCACTGTTGATATCAGCATTGTTCAAATAGAACCACAGATTCCAGCAACAAGTAATCGTCTATTTTCTGTCTTTGGAGCGTTTCTTCACTGTGCATGTCTCAAGGATGTTTTGACCAGCTATACAGTGTAAAGCAGAGATCGATTTCCTGCTTCCAGACTATAAGGAGTTGATTTTGGTCACTTCACTGAATGTACATACACGAAAGTAATAATACATAATGCCGACTGTACAGCTAAGTCAAATGAATCCGCTGAAGAGAATGAACTCTTCCTTGAAATTTCATACATTTGGTTCCCTTGATAAATTTCGATAGAGAAAGAAAGACCAGATTTGCAGCATAAAATCTATCAGGTTTTCAGAGCGTATCCTGAGAAACTTATGCTTGAAAGGAAGTAGATATTTACAAAGCGCAATTACCAAACACCCACCTTGTGGATACGGGTCATTTTGTCGAGATTTCCAAATCCTTCAAAATATTAAACATACAAAGGACAGTGAATCTACTACGATTTACTGCTGAAGCAATTGCAATCAAACGTCTCAGACCAAACTTATGCACACAGACAGAGAGTGTAGTCAATCTCTCACTCCCTTGGTAACCGTATCACTTTCATTATACTGATTACTCATACACAATAGTGGGCTCAACTCACTAAGCAAGTTTTCAAACTGATGAACTTTGATCTTGTTGAGTTGCCATGTTGACAATGTTTATTAGATTTTTCTGTTTTCTGTCTCCTCTCACCCTCCTTTTTTCCATAGTTTGATATCATACAAATTGATGGTAACTTAAACTATAAATTGTAATACTTATATTCGGGATGCGTTCATCTTATAATGTTTTTTCAACTCTATTACCTTTCAAACAATGAAGTATGAAATGTTATTATTTATAACCATTGTAATTTCAGGTAGTTTGCAGCTGATGAGAGCCTGCAAATCTGGTCTTTCTTTCTCTTCCTTGAACTGTTTGTTTTCATTTTCATGTCTGGATGAGTATTTTGTCCTTGTCTTCCAATAGTTGTTAAACAATTAATTGTGTGTGTGTGTGTGTGTGGCTGTAAGTATCTAAAGATTTCATGCTCCAGTTTCATCATAGTCGAAAATGAACACAGTTCTTTTCATATAAATACATTTTTATGTTATAGTCTACTCACTGTAATCTTTTCTCCTCCAATAAAGTCAAATTACGCGGACACTTTGAAAGGTAGAAATGATATTCAGGTTCTTTTTCTTCTGAAGTATCATATTTTGGAAGATGATATCTTCCAGGACCAGTGAATGGTGTCTAAAATAGGGGGAATATACATATACGGTAAATTTAAAATGAAAGTAAAAGACAATCAGAAATGAAAAATACTGACTTTACTACAAATAATGGTTAAAAATAGATTGAGTATTTCTGTTCATCTTACTTACTTTACTTTACTTTACTTCGGCTATCTCCTACGGGAGGATGAGCCGGCTTCATGAACATCTCGAATCATCGCTGCCCAGGCGCGGCGATCTGATGCATGGTTTTGCGACAGGGTTATCCAATTCTTGTTCCACAGACGGAGTCCGTAGACGGTTTGTAGCCCCAGGCACTCCATATCAGCCTTGACTGTACCAAGCCATGTTTTCAGCTGTCCACCCCTGCGATATCGCCAAGATGGTAACGGCGAGGGATTTAGAACTGATTTGACCAGATCGTCATCTGGTCGGCGCAGAACATGGCCAAACCACCGAAGGCGACGTTGTTGGACCAGTAATGGAATTTGGTTGATGTTGTAGCAACGACGAGAGTTCATGAAGTTTCATGGGAATTTGGTACGAGTGATGTCCCCAGAATCGCTCGGCCTTTGTTTGAGAGTGCAGCTCTAGCCTTTACACAACCAAGTGTGACCTACAAGGCAGTAGGAGTGGAGTAGGGAGTCCACTATCCATTGGCAGCCGGTGACCGGAGTTCGGTTCATACGCCTTTTTGAATGGGGCCAGACATCCAGGACATCCAACAAGCCCTTTGTCCATACGTCTGCCGGTCAACTCCAGTGAGCTTCATACGCCAGTCGTTGGAGGTTTGGAATCAGGGTTTAGCCATCTCCCCTAGACTGTCATCCAATGGACAGTCAACCCGGTGAAGAGCGCCGGGTATCCGCTTTCGCCCTCTCACTTTGGTGAAAACACCTCCGCCACGTGAAGGCAGTGAGTAGGACTTCCTCAGGAGAGGCTATGTAAGACGCCCGGTCATATGGGAGCATTTCAAGAAGTGTGCGGAGGGGTGGCCAACCCGCAGCGCAAGGCACCCACCCCCGACCATCCTGAGGCTTTGGAGGCTGCCTAATATCCACTTAGTAAGAAACATTACCATTCATTGTTTTCAGATGAACACATATGTCGTACCTATAAAAAGTGGAAGGTATTATATAGTTGGAGGCAATCGCTAGGAAGACTTAGACTTGGGTTTCACACTTATTGGAACTTGTTAGGAAAACGTACCCACAACCTTAAAGGAACTGAGATTCTAACCTGTGCCACTCAGTACTTCAGCCAGTAGCACTACCACTAAACTATTCGGGTTCATGACTGACCTCCTGCAAGCACTTAATGCATACACTGGTTAGGTTTTTAGGGAGTAACCATATTTTACATCATGACATCGGTAAAAATATGGAAGTAGACGGCATTAAAGAGAAAGGAAGGACATAAAATGGTAATGGGAGTACAGAAGTCGAAATACACTTAAGATGGAAATAAGTTGCGAACGAGTTTGTATTGTTATGGACAATGTAGAGTCTTCTGACCAGACAAACTGTGTAAAAAGATAGCTTACGGTTTAACAGCTTAGCCTAGTAGCCCACTGGATACCGATTTGTACTCCAACGGTTCAGTGGTGGAATGCTTCTCAACTATGAACGTGATCTTGAGTCCGTTCTCCACGTACTTATAAGACTCGCTTATCCGTCAGTAAGCTCGATAAAGACAGAAGACTGAGCATAAGGCCAGAGTAGAAAATAACGTCAGGGCTACTGAAATTTCGAAGCCCCAATCAGAGCTCAAAGGAGTGAAATAATAAGTAAATACGAAATATTGAACGTCAAGAGTAAAGTACTTCATGAATTTGTGGAACTACTCGGACTGTTGACTTTTCTTTTCCTTCAACCTAATTTTAATTTCACTTACATAATCATGAATTACTATCACACTGCTTTAAGATTGGCCACGGATTGATATCAGTTAGGGAACCACTGAAAACCAGCATGGAGTACTGGACGATTAGCTGTTTGGTCCTAGTTTGGGACTCTGCAGCAGTGCGCAACTCCATATTTCAGACCCAGGACCTTCAGGTTAAAAGACGAGCTCGTTGATCATTTAGCCAGAGGGACTCTACTTAATTGCTAACGCATGAATTCTTACTTCTACTAATTTGTGATTTTAGCGTGACTGGCACCAACCAATATCATCGGTGAGTACTTTTCCTCACTCTCGACAGGATGAACCCTACTGGTAACGACTTTATGGGCCATTGAGTCGGGCCCCAGTGGCTGAATCGGCTATAAGCTCATCTAGTAACCGGATGGTCCTAGGTTCAGACCCTGGCGGGGGTTGCGTGATACCGATGAATCTTGTGGTCAGACTTGAAATAAATCGAATCCCTATAAAATAACTCTTGAAAACTATTATATTTCTTTGAAGTGTGATTTCCCCTGGAGATGGAAACAACTGTTTATTTCTCAGCAGTTACTAGTAGTTGACATTCCTACCATTACCGTCTTTAATCTTTCGTCCAGATGAGTTTATTTGACAACTGACGCTTTTCACAAATGGCTAATCTATAGTTTCTGAATGATATGTATATTTGACATTAATTCTATTTTAGCTCTTGTTACTGCATTTAAATAATCCACTGTTTTCTCCTTCTAGTCATATATTCTAGGAAAATGCACATAAAAGTATTTTTTTCCTTCACGTTCCCCAGTGGAACATAGGGCTTCAAGCTAGTGGCTTGAAGTTTCTGTAGCAATGTTTATTTTACAGGATGGGATTGCCAGCCTCATGCCCAACCTTTCGTCTTCACCAGCATTACTTCTGGCTTAGCGAGGTAAAGGAGTACGTCGGTCGGGGATCGAACCTCGGACCATGCGCATGGTCGGCGAGCGTCCTAACCGCTATGCCACCGACGCAAAAGGCCTAATTAACTCTGATAATCAAATATCAGGTACACAGCTTTCTGTTCCTCACTATTAAACGTTTCATCATCCAAAGTTTCCATCTTGTGAATAATCTTAATACTGTACTGTAGCCAAGACATACCTTCTTGTCAGTGTGTAAGTTTATATGCAAAACACCTCAAAGGATTTAACTGTCGACATTGCTTCTACTAAAACTGTAATAGGAATAATATCATAACATCACCATCCTACTCTGTGCTCATCAGTCTCGGTTAGCTGGCTTCACGACTGATAATACGCTCCGATTTCTTCCTGATACAGTTTTCTCCGTGTTACCTTTGGACGACAACGTTGTCATCACCCATAAGGGTTTCACTTAAGGGCTAACTGGGTGCGTGATATCACTTAATGGCATTCTGAGTGTATTTCCAATCCTTCTGCATATTTGGCGGTCTATAGGTTCTTGACTAATTTGCTGTCAAACTTCCTTGCTGCTCGTTCTTTCTCGCCGATCATCTGATGACCAGTATCTAGCGAAATCAAATGTTGATGGAAGTCCTCAATAGCCTATTCTAAGAACATTCTGTGTCACGTGCGCTAACCGTCTGGATCCTATGGAAGCATTGAGTGACTTGAAATCAGTGTTAAAAACCTGGATCTTGTTCCTTATTTTGAATGCAGGAGATTTCCACATTGATTTCACACTGATGAATGTATGTCTTGCTTTTATCATCATGGCTTTGACATCGTCATGTGTGCCTTAACTGTTGTTATTATCCTAGAATACGTTGATTCCTACTACATAAGAACCGACCATGCTGTTGATGAAGTCACGACAAAAACACCCTCAGTATACTTGTCGTTGCTGTCTAGGTGACCGGAGTAGATTATTCACTCTGTATCATTGATATTCACTCTGTAATTAACAATTTGAAGTGTTCACTTCTATTCCATCTACTCTCACAGATTCTCTACACTTCTGTGCTATATCTTTTCATTTCTTTTGCAATCTGATCAGCGTTCCTTTGTCCCCATGCTTATTTTTGCTTTTATCGAAAGAAGACACATTGATGGACTACTGGCTTTCAGAAGGCTTTCACTAACCCGCATCATTCCGCCTCCCTGATTCCTGGGAAAAATAAGTCTTCCTTTATATTTCTATTCTTTAAATATATTACTCAACTAACTGATGTGAATAATAATATAAAGAAAATAAAGGACAATTCAGTGAATCATCGGTAGTACGCACCCACCTCAAAGGTTCGAACCCAGGACCTTAAGATTACAAGTACTTATGCCATTCAGCAACTGAGACTCAATCCACTGCCCAACCCATCAATTCTAAATTCTACGAATTCGTGATTTAGCGCAACTGGGACCAACCAATGTCATCGGCGGGAAATCCATACTCACACTTGACTGGATGAACCTCACTGGTCACGGCTTCTCACTAGAACTCCAGGAAACTCCGTCCTGTAGCAAGTCACTAGCGAGCATCAGATCAATTTTCAGGAGTTGGTTTGTAAGGATTAGATTAGTTTTTTCGAGTTTGACCACGTTAAACCATGGTTAAGGAGCTTGGCTTGTACCCGGAAGGTCGTGTGTTTGAACCCCATTCTGTGGGTGCGTATTGCCGATGATTCCCAAACTAGGATGAAACAGCTGTCCAGTACCCCCCAGTTTTCAATGGTTCTCTGATGTTGATATCAACCCATGATCAAGCTCAAAAAAACAATTCAGTGTAGAAAATCTTCTTTGTCGATGAAATCATCGTTCAGAGGCTGTACAATCTTATTCATATTTGCATGGAGGATTTCATCATGAGCTGATATCAGTTAGAAAACCACTGGAAAACCTGAGGGTACTGGACAGCTGTTTCGTCCTAGTTTGGGACTCTTCAGCAGTACGCGCCCACCGGGATTCGAACCCAGGACCTTCTGGTTACAAAGCGAGCTAGTAGACCATTGAGCCACTGGGACCCGATCCAATGGTCCTTGAATTGTAACTTCTGCCAATTCACGACATAGCGGGACCATTTTTCAATGTCTTCTTCGATGAGTTACTGCCTCATCTTCAACCTGCTCTACCCTACTGGTTACGGCTTCCCACTAGATTATTATTATTATTATTTTATTAT